TAGTAGTAGTAGTTATTAGTAGTTAGTAGTTAGTAGTAGTAGTAGTAGTAGTAGTAGTAGTAGTAGTAGTAGTAGTAGTGGTAGTACAGGTACGGCATGGGGGTTGCAATGGGTACGGTCGGGGGGTTTGGGTGGTACGGTACGGGGTATGGTTGGGGCTGCGGGTGGTACGGTACGGGGTACGATTGGAGGGTACGGTGGTGCAATACGGGGGCACGGGGGTACGGTACGGGGGTATTGTGCAGGGCTTGCTGCCTTCTTTTGCAATTAGGGTTTGTTTGCGTCATGAAATATCGGTTTTCCAATGGAAATACAGAGAACCCCCCCCTCCCCAGCAACAAAAACAATCAACGAGGGAGCAAACAATACGCCTGTGAGTCAAAACTCTAAGTCTCAGGTCCTGAACGGAGCCCGAGACCTGAAATTGCAAGACCCTTCCCCGGAAAACCCGAAAGTCAAACTCGAAAAATCTTGGAACTGGGCCGTGGTTTCTGATCGTGGCGTAGAGATTAGAGTTTCAGATTCCTGGGGCTTGTTTTTTTTTTCCACCTGTTTTGGGGCTCTTTCCTGTTTAAGCCGTGCAGGCTTGAATTCAATTCAAGAACGTCGCAGCATCAACAAGAAATGCGTCAAGCATATAATTGTTGTTAATTTTTCAACACCCAACATACACGCGTTCTGTTTGCAAATGGGGGGCTGTGTCCACCCTGATCCTCGCGTTTCTTTAAGGTGTGCAAGATCGCTTCAAGTATCTTCCTTCGAGCAAAGACAGAACCAATATGGACCAATAGCTTGACACACAAACAAAGCCTGAAAACTGGAATCCCCCGATAGCTTGACACACAGGCGACCCCAAACCATATCCCACCAAACCTTTTCAAAAACAGACCTGCCGCCAAACCTTTTCAATGAAGCCCTCCACCCTCTTGAACCTCGTCGCCGCCGCAGTAGCAGCAGGAGCAGTAGTAGCAGCAGCAGTAGCAGCAGAAGCAGCGACGGCAGTAGCAGTAGCAGGTGCAGGTGGACTGGAAATAGCAGCAGCAGTAGCAGTGGTGGTGGCAGCAGCAGTAGCAGTCGCAGTAGCCGTAGCAGAAGAAGAAGTCATAGTCATCGCAAGAGTGGACCGGAGAAGCGAGCGGGACAGGGAGATCCATAACAAGCCGAAAGGTAAGCGCTGCATGAATGCTCACCATGCCCATTCCGACCAGACAATAGCAGTGACTATGTTGATGTTGAAAGTAATGATGAATGATCATTGCGACGATCATATAACAACACCAACGCCGGAAGCATTTGTCATAGCACCATAGGGCCAGAATGATGATTAGTGGAATTTAACCATTTGGTGAGCCTGCGAGTGCAACAGCGACAGTAGCATCAAGCACGAAAGTGAACATGACCCTGCTACAAGGGCTGGCACAACAGTAGCAGCGACAGCAAGAACAAAACAGAAGCACAGCAAGACCGGGCAGGCAATCAACCCAAATCCCGCCGCAAAGGGGTCGCCAATCAGTCTTTGCTAGTTCTTAGGGTGTGGTTTTCTTAGGGCAGCACGTGCACCTCGTGACCCTGTGAACAGAGCTTTGAGGAACAATGTTGTCAGAGGGTCCGCCAAGGCACTTTCGGTGTCTTGTTGTTTGGACTGGCTTTGGAATGAAAACTGAGTGAAGGCAGAATCTGGGAAGAAGATGAGATCAGGGAGAACGGAAAAATCGTCAGAGTGCAAGAAGTGCGCTAAGTCGCGTAAGTGTCGGGACGCAGAAGACGTGCTGTACTTTAAAAGAAAAGAACAAAACAGGGTGCCCGTGTTTTGTCCACAGGGCACGACGGGGTTTGGCGTCGCCACCCCGACTATGTTTCGACTTGAGCTGTCATTGCTGCTTTTCCTGCTGGTCCCAGGTCTTCTTTCTGTCTTGTTGCAGTTTGTCTCGGTTTCAGTTCCTTGTCGTTTAACCTTGTGAGTGTGGGAAGTTGTCAATGCCGCACGCTTTGCTGCAAACACTGCAAAGCGCAGCGAGCCATGCTTGTGGTAGGCTCTCATCCTACACTGTTGTATCTCGCATTTTTGTCGTGATCGTCCTGTAGCTAGTTGGGTCATGTGCCCGATGAAGCGCGCGAAACGGGGGCCCCCTGTGAACTTGTTGTGCGTTCCGCTCCAAATCTCCGAATCTGTCCTATACCAAAGCTCCAAATCTCCAAGGCTCGGCGGACCCTGCTGGCACGCTGGCGACCATGGCTCCAGCACCTCTGCACTGAGTGTAAATAAAACCCTGGCGTCCTGGAGTTCGGGGGAAATGTGCGCAAGTCGAGACGGCCTCGGCACTGCCACTGCGCAGTCCTGCGGTCCCGAGGAAGTGATCCGCGGGAACTTCAACGCGAAGTGCGACGTCTGGTCTCTAGGCGCGACCCTTTCTTTCCATTCCTCGAAGCTTTGCAGCGAGTCGCAGAGCGTCATCGACCCTTGCAAACCGTGCGCAGGTTGCTGTCTCTACGCACTGCTCTGCCGAAAGCCTCTGCGGCTTGAGGATGTAAAGGGCGAAGGCGCTGTTGGGAGGGCCTTTCCGCGCAGAAGCCCTGCCACGCCCCAGGCCCTTGCGGCCGCCGCTTCAGGTTGACCCTACCCCGACAGGTTTCGTGTTCAGCCAGGCCAGTCTGGGAAACTCCTCGATCTCTGTCCTGGCAGGAAAAGGCGAAGTGGAGCTGTACGATTACTTCTATCCGTTCTCTCCGCCCCCGGATGAGTCCCGCCCGGAGCCACGCGAGGGTGATATGAACAAGCAAGACTTGAGGCGGTGTACTCAGCCTTTGGAGGGCTCACGATAGCTGCTGCAGGCTTGGCTTGTGACTCACGTGGCCTAGTGTCATCTAGCGTCAAAGGCGATTGTTGAAAGATCAGACGTGTGCGAGTTGAAGATGTCCCGAAGGAGCTGAAGGCATACATCGCGCGGCAGAAGGAAGGCCCAGACTTCACCAGGCCATTATCGGAGCTTACAGATGTCCATCATCCGCGGGCCCTTTTATGCTGCTATTTTGCCAGAGGCTCTAAACAACTGCTATCGCGAAAGTCATGAATGCGATTTCTTCGTAGCGGCTACTTGTATCGGCTGGAAGCCTACAGGAACTTCTGATGTAACTCGAAACGCTAGTGAGAGCTTTTTTCGTGTTCAGGGCAGGGTCAGGTCCTGGCCGGGCGAGTCCAACCAAGCCGGTTGAAACAGCGCAGGGTCAGGCGGGAGTCCGATTTGTGGAGGCAGCAAGCCAAGTAAAGAACTAGTGAGTTGGTGAGTTAGTGTCAGTTGAGGCTAGCGACCTCGATAGCGCGCTCTCTGAGCAGTCGTCATAGTCTTGTTGACACAACCTCTCTTGCTTCTCGCCGTCGTCGTCGTTCTGGCCGCTGCTGCTGCTGCTGCTGCTGCTGCTGCCGCTGTTGCATGCAGTTACGTGCTGCTGCTGTTGTTCGTTTTCGTTTGCCTGCTTTTCTTCGTGTTATGTTTTTCTCGTCCTTGTCATTCCGAATCTCCTGGCATGTCCCAGTTGTGAACACAGAAGCATCACGAGAATCGATCTGCAAGCGGCTGCTTCATTTCAGCAGTTAAGCTAGTGAGACCTCAGAGTGATGGGGGCCACGGCCAGTGCTGCTGGCTGCTGCCACGAAGCGAGCGGCGATGTGTCCTCTATTTCCCAACCTCCCAAGGAGATGGTTGAGGCAGATCGGATCTCTTGCGACTCGCAGCAGGGGAGTGCATCCGATGAGCGGCAGAGCAACCGAACTGGGCCCCAGTCACAGCTCACGCGGCAGTCGAGCCATTTCAGCCGGTACGACAGAATGCAGAACATGCAGCAAGTAACCGTGGACACCGAAATCATCCGCGCAATCCCCTTGCACATGACGCTCCGTCGCTTCGGCCAGCTTTGGCGCACATCTCCGGTGGATCTGGATGAAGACAGGCGGAGTGGGCTCTGGACGAAATCTTGTCCGACCGAGAGATTTGATGTCTTCCTCTCTCACACGTGGCAATCCTCTTGGAGGTGGAAGTACTTGTCGCTCCTACTGCGCTCGGGCAGCCCGGCGGTTCTGGTTGCGTGGACATGTGCGGCCAGCTTGGCTTTTGCACTGTCAATGTTGGATGTGCTGGAGCTCCCGTTCGAGTACGTGCCGCAGCATGTCGTCGTTCAGGCCGACTGCCCACTTGGATTTTGGGTTATGCTCTTGGGCAATGCAGCCGTGATGGGGGCCGTTTTTGCGTCACCTTATCTGCCGTGCAGGAAGCAGTGTGCCTGCTTCCTGGATGCGGTTAGCATTAACCAGGCGGATTCTGAATTGCAAGAGCGCGGTGTGTATGGAATCGGAGGATTCCTGAAGGTGTCCGATGAGCTACTTGTGATGTGGAGCCCGTTGTACCTGACACGCTTGTGGTGTGTATATGCAACTTGGTCAGTGTTCGGGATCTGTGTTACTTTTGTGGTTCGGGTTTCCTGAGATCTTGACCCGGAGCCCAGACACAAGATCCTTGGCTTTCTTTTCGAACGCGGACCAAGGAAATTGCAATGTTCCGCTATGCAAACCCTGAGGGCAGAATCACATTTGCACCTTCCTTCGTTGAAGCTGCAGCGTTGTGTCTCTGGTTCTTTACTGCATTAACGGCCTTCATTCTGTGGACGAGTCTCGCATTCCCATTGCGCTTGGATCTGCTGCTGGTCGAGTGGTGTCTTGCACTGTTGCCGGTCATCCTTTGTGCACACTTCCTGCGCCGCAGCCTGTATAGCAAGCAGATGCTCTTGATGAACCTTGAACATTTCGATTTGGAAACTGCTCAGTGCAGAGTTGCGTTTGACAAGGAGTTTGTGCATCAGTCTATCGTGCAATGGTATGGAAGCATCGGAGCGTTCAACGCATACGTGCAGGGACCACTGCGTCAGGAGCTGTTAAAATCCTCCAGTTTTCAGATGCCTTTCATCTACTTCCTCGTGATCCTGACCCCGGGGCAGGGCAGTAGCCTAGAAGAGCTTTTAGGGCTTTTGAAGGCCGGGGCCGGGGCCGGGGCGACTTGGCAAGTCGTCATGTCTCATATTCTTGCTCACAACGTCGGGCTTTGTATCGCCGTGATGTTCAGCTTAAAGTTTCTCTTCATGCAGTGCGAGCGCTTTGCGGCTCCGCGGCAGCATTTTCTCTTGGATTGCCTCACGTCCGTCCTGATCTTCCTGGCGTGCCTTGTCCGCCTTGGGAAGCCGAACTTGAGGATCCGATGACTTCGAATTCCTCTTGCTATACGTCGCAGTGTTGTCCTTAATCCTTAGTCTTCCACTCAGCCCTTGTTGTTCTGACCGTTGCCATACTGCTCGCCGCCCACATTCTAAGCCCTAGGCGAGTCTTTGCGAGCGCATCGAGCCCAAGTAATCCGGGAAGATGCAGTAGACTCAGTAGATGAGGCTCCAGGACAGAAGCCCCTAGAGTCAGCCTCAGGTTCGGACTGGTGACCCTCCTCCTCGCGGGCCTTAGTCTGGCTTCGGCTTACTTTGGCATCTTTACGGCCCTTGCCTGGGCTGTAGTGATGCTGGCTGCGGCCTGCGTGTCCTTCAAAGGCAACTCGGTAGCATTCTCGTGCGGGTCCAGGGGCCTTTGAACTTGCGGTTTGCCACAAAGCAGTAAGGTACTGGTAGAGAACATTAAAACCGTCTTCTCAGGTAAGGCAAGTCGAGTGGTATGGGGTTCTTACAGTTCTTACCCCGGAGCCCGGAGCGGGATCAGGTTGCTGGCATAGGAAACGGCCCAGGCGTGCTTCGCCTCCGAGCCCCCCCCTTTTTTCTGCTTTGGCGAAGGCCAGCTCGACCGTTTTCATACTTGCTGAATCAGTTTTCATCGCGGCACCGTGCACTTTTCGGATGTGCCGGGGCGGAGGCCGGGCGGGGAATGTGCTATTCTGGCCGCCTTGAAATCACTTGAAGTCTCTAAACCCGGGCACTGTCACAGTACGTGTCTTTTGGGCTACCTCGTCTCTTCACAATCCCGTGCGTTTCCGCCATGCCACTCGTACCCTGTGGTTTTCTGCCCCCCGAATCGGAACATCTGGTGCACTCCCGCCACCTCAAGTCCACGCTGGAACGCCTTTCGGACTGCAGGGCCGACGTAGGCTTGGACTGCTAGCTGCATTCTGTGCTGGCTTTCGCATGGTCATCTCAGAGCATCCAAGGATCTCAGCTTCGATGCAGTCGCAGAGCATCCAACGGCGCCGAAGGTGCCAAAGGGAGAGGATTGGGTGGCCCCGGCCATGCTGACGGCACGGTGACGTGAACGTAGCAGACTGTGGTCGTCTGGACCTCGGTACTGCTTTTTTAGATTCAGATTCCGACGAATCTGTGTAGAGTCTAGAACAAAAACGCGCTTCGCAATCCCTGGCGGAGCGAGATCCTAGTCGTCGCGACGTCTCGTTACTTTTTGTCTTTACTGTTGCCTCTGGTGGTAGATTGGTACTAGTCATTTGTTTGGATTTCACTGCTTACAGTGTAACTTGTTCACCGGTTTCACACTTGCAAGCATCAGTAGATCTTGCAGGGCAGTCAGCCCGGGGCCTTGAGTGGGACCGTTTTCGGGTAGCTTGTTTGAAGTTTATCTGCAGCTGCATTTGCCCATTCCACGCAGAATGCAGAAGCTGTGGAAAGGAGCTGAATGATTTGAGGGCCGGAGCTTCCTCCAGCCCGAGAAATCTCGGCGCCGAATCTCAAAAAGGAAAAGCGAACAAGCTTGACAGTTGACTCCCAAGTCGTCACCTTCCCATCCGAAGCCCTGCAGCGTAGCGCAGTTGCAGTACATGGTGCACCAGGTCCTCCTGATTCGAGCTGTTTCTGCCTTTTTATTCCTATCCCATCTCCACGGCCCCAGCCCCAACTCGCGCGAGGCTCGAGTGCTCCGAAGATGTGCGAAACCTCCTGACGTTGCTGCTCACCTACGACAAGGATGGGAACTGCAAGAAGAAGGGGCGGCGGTTGGAGTTTTTGAAGTGTGTTACCTTGAGCTTCAAAAACGTCGAGGCTTGAAGAAGGAGCGGGCGGCTGTTGCAGCCGTGTTAGTAAGTATGTATTGAATCTGCAGCATTGCCAAAACCCAGCCGCGATGGTGCAGGACATGCAGTAAGAATGAGCAGAAGTGATGCAGTATCACCATAACTTGGCAGTTAAGCAACATCGCAGCAGAGTGTCGTTGCAGTGAAGCAGCGAAGCAAGATAGTACTGCATTGGTGTAGCATGTCATAGCACTCCCGTATCACGGTCATGGAGTGATCTTGTTGTCTCGTCACATTGTAGTAGCAAAGGCGAGCCGGTAACATCACAAGGGGGCAAGACCAACCAGTGCAACAGTGAGGCTACCCTGGCTGATCTCACAAGGAAGAAGTTAGTTTCCCGTGCGGCTGCTGGCTGCCAGCCTTAGTCCTTGCAGGCTATAAGTCTAGCACTACTAAGTCAATGCAAGCAACAACCAGGGGATGGCAATAGCAGGCACAAGCAATGAGCAGACGCGAGCACATGTGACTTGCGGAATCATGGAATGGACTTGTGTTACAGTATCGTGCCACGACTACGACCTAGGGGCTTCCTGCTTCTCGCGATTCATGCGGTTCGAGGATGCTAACTCATCACAGGTATCCTTATCCTTCAAGTGTGCAGGGCTACGAGAATGCTAGGTGGCGATGCCGAGGCATCAGTGGCTAAGAATACTGCAATGGATAGTCGGTGCATGTCGGTGCTATATCAAGAATCACTACGGCTTATGGGGCAGTTGTTCAATGCAGCAGGAGCCTCGGCCCTCGATGCAGAACGTGCTTTGCCCGATCCTGAGTGATTGCCGTTGCTTCGCCTGGCATGGATAGTGGATGTGGATAGCGTCGGGTCGCATTCCGTGCGGGGCTCAGAGCATGTCGGCACAGCCAGAAATCGACAACTTAGCACCAACATTCCCAACGGTTGAGCTTGGCTCCTCACGGTCCTGTGCATCACCCTCCTCCACCACCACGCATCCCCGTACACAGTGCGGCAACAAGCGTGTGCTGCATCATTCAGCAATCAGTAGCAGAGCGTCATGGCTGAAGAGGGTCGGGCCTTGTTCGAGTACAGCCGCCGTGGCAAACTGGAAGATGTCCGGGAGGAGCTTGCAAGAGGAGAGTCCCCCGACTCGTATTTCAGTTACGACGGCAGCACCGCACTTCTGGTTGCTGCCCGTGGCGGTCACGTCGGAGTTGTCGCTGCGCTTTTGGAGGCGAGAGCGGACCTGACTGTACGCTCCGAAGACGGCAGTGACGCCTTGTTGCATGCAGCCAGCGGTGGGAGCAGTGACGTCATCCAAACACTTCTTGCTTCTTTGGCCGACCCTCGGACCGTGAACGAGGATGAGGTGTCCCCTCTCATTCTAGCCGCCCACTACGGCCACAGCGCGGCCATGAAAGTATTGCTGCAGGCGCAGGCAGACCCCAATTACGTTGCTCCGGGCTGGGGTTCAGCTTTGGACTCTGCTCGGGGACAGTGTGTGACCTTGTTGCTGCAGCACGGAGCATGCCGTCAGGACGCGCCGGCCCAGGCCTCATCCCGGCCCAAAGCGGGTGAGCACTTCATGTACAACTGCTTGGATGACGATCCCAATCAAGCAGAGGCCGCTCTTCGACAGTTTGCCAGGCGTGAGAGCGACAACAGCACCGAGCCTGCTGGCATGTGCAGGCGTCGTGCCGGGGCGCAAGCCAAGTGCAGAATTGCTTGAAGAACACTTCGCAGTGTCCAGGAAGTTGTGAGTTGAAGACTTCATAGATGTTCGAAGCAGATCCAGCTGCAGAGTCCAGAGCCAGATGAACCAGGGATCAGGGACCAATGTGTGCCGGCTTGACTGATCGGATAAGTCGATGGAGAGCCACGTGTTGCACTAGCCTGGAGCGTGGCCGTCTCACCTGCTTCCACAGACTCCTGGCGAACAGGAGCACCACATTGTTGTTTGTGACAACCAACTCACCTTGCACCCTCATGGCACCGAGCAAAGCGGTCGTGCATCCGCAGTGGTCCCTTGTTGGTTAGCGCACAGAGCTGCAGGTGACGACAACTGCACCCCGATCTGTCCGTCGTGCTTACTTGCCGACTTGTATAAATCGAACATGCAGCAGAAAGCTCGTTTTCGTTGCGGCAACTGTCATTCTATCCGGAGTAGACTCCTATCCGCATGTTTGGCAGGTGAATGAATCCCTTCATTGCTCCTTCCACCGTCAATCTTCGATTAACTGGGCTCAGCTGACTTCTGAATGTTGGCACGACATCGTGTTTCATCAACACTACTCCGAATTCTTCTGAGTCTAGCCGAGCCATTAATTAGTACATGAATGCCTCTGCTCCTGCAGCGGAATCAGCTTTCAAATCCGTTCATGTGTCATACTTATATTACGTCCGGTTAGGAAGGAGGCTCGTTGATGAACTTTCTAATCGCAGCACGCACCCCGAGTGTTGTTGGACTGTAAGAGTCTATCTCACCATCACCATCACCATCACCGCAAGCAATTCTTTGAACTATGACTCGTTTGCTTCTTAGATTTCAAGTTTCAAGGTCATCAGTGGCTGGAGCTATCCAGAACCTCCAGCCGCTTCTCGAAGCACCAACTTGTGCCTTGGCAGGGAAGGCTTTTGGAACGTAAGGTTTAATCGCATCGCTGACGTTTCGAGATTGTGCGAGAAATAGAAGGGCGAGTTGGCTCATGATTCCTGCGATCATCGACCCTCGCTTTACTTTTACCGTCGCTTTGAAAAGACAGCTGCACTCATCTCTCGTTGTTGAGTGTGTGCGGGTGCAAGATCCCAGGCCCAACAACTAGCACCAAGTGAATTGAACAGAAAGGGGCTCCTTGCAGACGGATAGTTCGACTTCAATGTTGAAGGACTTCTGTTGGGTGCCCTTTGATTGCACATGTTTTCAGGGCTGGGTACGGAACAGACACTCGACACAATGCAACGTGCGGAAATGGCGAAGCGATGGTAACTGAGTGAGCCAAAGCCTACAGAGTTTGAACTAGCACTTCTCTCTTTTGAGGAGAGCTTGTTGCAGTTCCATCGAATCAACCCGCTGGCTCAGGCAGAGGGGATTGTCGTTGAAAGCATTTGTACTTTATCACGTTATGTTAGGTTATAGTATGTTGTATTCTATTGGATTATATTGTATTATGATATATTGTGTTAACTGAAGTGGTCTGAAGTTATATTATGTGATATTATGTTGTACTATGTCGTATTACCACGCTCACACGTATGTTCTCCCAAAATTCGGAGGTGCGCAATCTTATGCATAGGTACATAGATGTATTTACATATGTTCACATATGTGTATGTATATATATATATAAACATATGCATTTGTAGATGTACAGTTAGTGCACACATAGATATACCTGTAGTTTATTTTCATTTATACATGTTTGTTTTCGTTAGGTACACATACATGTACATATATGTATACATATGTTGTATCAGTTGTTTATTCACAGTAAAGTTAGTACTTCCAGTTTCACGTACAAAGCATGTGTAAATAACATGCAAAAATATGAGTGTATTTGTATATACATATGTTTTCATGTACATATGGAAATATGGATACACGCATTCAGATTCGCAAGTGCGCCCAGGCACACACTTACCTACATACATACGTACATGCATGCACTCATACATGCATGCACACGTACATGCATATATCCGTAAGTACATACGTACATGCATACATCTGTACATGTCGTACATAAAGGTATATGGTGCAGGTGTACATAGTCAAGCATGTGATACAGTATGTATACATAAATAAAAATATATATATATATATATATATTCAAATATATACATACATATATATATATATTCAAATATATATATATATATATTCAAATATATATATATATATACGCACATAAATATAACTACAAATATATACACGCAACTACCTGCATGTATTTATGTATACATATGAATACATATATATATATACATACTGTATATATATATATGTAAATCTCTCTCTAGGCAGATATAGACATAGGTATGTACACATAGACATAAATACATATGTTTGTGTGTATGTGTAATTATGTATGTATGTATGTATGTATGTATGTATGTATGTATGTATGTATGTATGTATGTATGTACGCATGTGTGTATGTGTGCATGTCCACAAAATACATATGTGCACAGATTTGTATACATATGTATATATACATATACATTTATTTGTTTGTGTATATCTATGTGTATGTATATATAGATATATGCATGTAGAGATGTTCACATCTCTGTGTGATTTGTGTTTGTGTCCGCATTAAGCCCAGCTAGTTGACACCTCAAACGGATGTCGCCAGGCCGTCCTGTTGGACCTTGCCTCCCAGCTTCCGCTGAAGCAGCTGCGCAGCTGGGCATTGAAAGTCATCAGGACTTCGGTTTCTGTTCGCCTCGTGGAAGGGGCTGGCCCGGGGTACTGGCGAGTTTCCGCCGTGCCGTTTGCCGTGCCTAGGCGAGATGTCAAGTCTCTTCGAGTCCATGGACAAAGACGGGAATGGCATGCTCGATCAGGCCCTTTAGCGGTACAGTAGCTTCTTCAGCACCGGGGCATCGCTCAGCAGACTGATGCTAGGACGAACGACAATACTTCATATAGAATTACGCAGCGCCATGCATATATGCATATACATATATACATATATATATATATATGTACATGGAGAAACGCATTCACAGTCCGGAATATTTAGAAGGTAGTATACGTCGGAACTTGACCGCAAGGCATTTTTACATATATGTTTATATGTATGTATATAGATAAATTGGCTGATATATGGATACAGACGTATTGGAGCGACGCAAGCACAACAAGTGAATACATACAAACATAAACATGGACCTAGATATAAAAGCCAATCGTAGATGTCAGTCCAGTACAAAGATTAACAAACACTGGACAAAAAACAAATATGTATATATGTATGTGTGTATATATATACACATACATTTTGAAACTTCCTGCCTATGTTTCTCTCGAAATCTAAATCCACATCTATATCTGTATCGGTATCTACATCTCTACCTGCATCTTCATCTACAGTTTTGTCTGTTTATATTCAGCTTTGCATCATATCTATTTATCTATTTCTCTATCTACCTACTTACCTACTAGCTTATTTACTTACGTACTTACCTACCTACTTACCTACCTGCCTACCTGCCTACTTGCCTGCCTGCCTACCTACCTCCCTCCCTGCCTGCCTCCCTCCCTGCCTGCCTGCCTACCTACCTACCTGCCTACCTGCCTGCCCTACCTGCCTGCCTGCCTGCCTGCCTGCCTGCCTACCTACCTACCTACTTACCTACCTACCTACCTACCTAGGTAGGTAGGTAGGTAGGTAGGTAGGTAGGTAGGGTAGGTAGGGTAGGTAGGGTAGGTAGGGTAGGTAGGGTAGGTAGGGTAGGTAGGGTAGGTAGGGTAGGTAGGGTAGGTAGGGTAGGTAGGGTAGGTAGGGTAGGGAGG